TAACCTACAACACACATACATGACACCACATTATCAACTGTTAACCTACAACACACATACATGACACCACATTATCAACTGTTAACCTACAACACACATACATGACACCACATTGTCTACTGTTAACCTACAACACACATTCACGACACCACATCGTCAACTGTTAACCTACAACACACATACATGACACCACATCGTCAACTGTTAACCTACAACACACATACATGGATGGAATATAATATCTTTTTAGATGTCATAGCAGTTTTCTTACAACTCATGGTTGCAATGCGTGCCTTTAACATAACGAATATTTCTATGTATCACACCCTCAGTCAAAGTATCAATAAAACTGTCCTGGGGAATGTTTATTGTGTGAACATTACCCTTGACTCAGTCGATGATAATATTATAGTCGCTATTGATTGGATTCTCCTCTCGTGACATCTCTTAAATTCGTGCATAATAATGACGTAACATTTTCTTTTGTTGAGATAAGTAGCAGTCGGGAAAAGACATCACACGCTTACACCAGTATCCCTATAGTATTGATAAAATGTTATGACTACAATTTTAACCACAATGTTTCCGACAGATTGCAGCTTGGTAAGTTTAAAGAATGGGAGATAAGGCCAATCATCATTTTACATGAAAAATGGACCTAAAGTACCCAATATGCTGCAACAAAGAATAAATTGATAAACAAAAATGACACCAGCAATAACCAAACACATCGCCTATAACCTACATGGACATTGATGTGGGTGTAGGGGTATTTAACGTAAGGATGTGCTGACTGAAACCGAAATCGTAAAAACAATAACCCACACATTTTTCTTCTTGTAAATCTGCCATAGTCTTTGATTGAACCTTTTCTGAAGAAGCATTCGGAGGTCATGAGGAAGTATTCAACATCCCCAAAGCCTTCCGCAACTGGACAGTGATTAACGTACAAGGATGGAAGTCGGCTTCGTGCAGCACCGGTCCTTCTGGGATGTCCTCAGCGGATAGGTCAGACGCCGAGTCATAAACTAGTATATCTGTACCCGTTTGTAGTATTTCCTTGACTCTCTCACCTGTTCTAGAAGAGAGTTGTACCGTTGTTGTAGTTCTTCTTTGTACTTCAAAAGCAAGTCTCTGTTGTCTCTTTCTAAACTATCACAGTTTGCTACAAACTCGTCGGTAAGGACATTGATTTGTTTTTTACATACCTGCCCCTGGGCGCTTCTTCACTTACTGGCCAAGATCCTTAAAGTTGTCGTTTTCACGGATTTTATTTTTAATTGATTGCATTTCATTGGAGTTGAATGAGTTTGTTATATTCGATGTCGTGAATGAAATCCTGCATAACATCCTTCTTCTGAAGCGCTATGTCCGATATTTCCGTAAGTGTTTGACGATTGTGAGTCGATATACTGCACGAAAGACATACCAAAATACTGCAGTCAGTACAGTGTAAAATCACATCCTTATTTCTATGGACAGAGCACTTTGTATTCCCTTTCCTCCGGATAGGTATCTGGGCTTGCAGTTCTGTCAGTGGTACGTTGGAAGCCATTGTATATGGCGACCGCGTTGTCTTGTTTTTCTCAAAATCTACAAGGGAGTTGCTAATGGCTGGTGTATGTGTTGCACATGTGCCATTCTATTGGGCAAGCAAGCAGTTTGGTCTTTCACATGAATATCGTGAAGACCTTAAGGCTAGAATCTGAGAGCTCTACTAAAAGTTAGATGCACGAGAATATATCAAATATGTCCTGAAGATAATGATATGGAATATTAAAATAGAATAGCAATATGCATTGGTAACTTCTCGGCTTGTTTTAATATTGGGGTTCCGTAGTGCCTAGTTCCAAAGATAGTGTGACACAGATTGACACCTGGACTTTGTTATCAGCTCTATAACATCATGTTATCAGCTGTATAAACATATATATGTATATGTGGCCGCGAAATGGAGTCCGATTATATTCAGTTAAGTTTTCAAAGTTATCATCTAGAACTGCCTTATTTTTTTTAATAATGATTTTGATAAAGTAGCAGCATCGAAAAAAGGTAGAAAAGAAAATGCAAACCTCAGAAATATTATTTTTTTCCATGATCAAAAACTGAACAAAAATGCAATACTATTGTCACTGTATTTAACACACAATCAAAGCCAAATATCTAAGTTTAACATTTCAACAAAACCTCATTCATTTCCAATAATTCTAACAAAATAGATAAAAAATTAAAAATTCCTTTGGCCAATTGAATAATGAATTCCAATAATGCTACAGAACAAGAATATAAATACAAATTAAACCTTGTTTCATGTAATTTATGAATGTCTATAATACTTTGTTGTTATGTTTCAGTATCATGCATTTTAAAGTACTGTATTAATTTTATCTATTGTTGATATGAGCGGACGCTGACAGTTAGAAGGAGATGAGAAGGTCAAAAGTGGTATGAATCTGTGGATATTCTTAGTACCCTATATAAGAACGTGCACTAGCTGACACTATGTTACAAGCCTGCTGAAGATGATGGAAGAACAAGGTATGTACCTTCTTTTTACATCATGATCTAATTTTGAAAAATATCTGAAAGGGAATTTTATTACCCACCACCTCCCCTTCTGGTCTCCTTCTCAATATGATTATTCCTTCTTTAAGGGACGTTTTCTTACCCCATCTTAGACTTTTAAGTACATTGAACAAAAACTTTAAAAGATAAAGTTTTTATATAAACATATCGTTTAGAATAAAAACGGCCATATTCAATTGATTTGAAGTGTTCTAGTTTTTATGCACTTAACATGTCTTAAAAGCTTGCCATGGTGATATTTACTTTGAACAGACATGCATACATAGAGCATCCATCTTTAGAATATGCTAGTTCTGTGTGGGTTCAACACCAAAATGGTGATATAAATCAAGTTGATATGGTACAGCGTAGAGCTGCGACGTTTGTCACAAATCGCTACTCTAACACCTCAAGCGTTATAGTGACATGTTACAACATCTCAACTGGCCTGACCGGGTTATGATGTTAACAACATAACAAAGTTGATATAAATAAAGATCTCTAATTGACACCTCAGTTAAGACTGTCCAGACAGTTTCTTATAGGTGAGTCCTGAGGACGCAGACATGTGAATCGTTTGAGGCCATTCATACATGAGGTTGTGAAATGGCAACATTGCATTTAAAACAACTTATATAATAACTACAGGTGAAAAGTCACACGACTCCCGGGATATGCAAAAGTCCTTAAAATGGTAGTCGTTTTCCCCTTCTTAACGTTCAGCAGTAGGGGTAATCACAACAACTGGTTCACCAGTTTTAAGTATAATGTGACCGGGAGGATTGCTGTGCTGGGTGCCTTCGGCATGGTATTTCAGTGAGGTAGCACTCTGAAGTCGGCATCAGATCCGCACTATCACAAGGATATAATTACACTAACACACCCTGCCTCCGGCACACATACACACATGCACGCATACACAACACACATGGAGGCACGTCCTTAAATGACCTTAGCTGTTGATAGGACGTTAAATCCTATACAACCAACCAACCTACTCTCGGTGTATGATATGATGTGGCACAAATGTGGTTGTGCAGTATCGGAGAGCCGTTTTAGTTAAGGTATCGTGGAGCGATGTCCTATTCAGTCATTTAATACCGGAAATTGATCATTTGGAGCCTGTGAAAAAGATTTATCTATTTTCTATGGCATTCAAGGGTTTTAGATTCCAAACCGCTACATGGTGTCATGATGTAGGAACTGATCAAATTCAAATATGTCGATCTTTGACAATTTCACAATATAGGAATTGCCAATATTGATTACCCTATATAGGGCGCATGCTCTAGATAGCCTATAGCAATCACAAGGAATCATGTTTCAACAAGAGTAACAATAATCGTGTAGTACTTATCAAGAATTAAGATCTGGTCATTAGTATCATATTTTATCAAGATATCACTTTATTGCCAGGTTTTTGAAACAAACTTTAAAGACATTACATTGACAATGCTGACAATTGGAGTGGTATTTGGAGTGGTGCTAACATCGAACAGTTTGGCAGATTCTTATGAGAGAAATAAATCGACGGAACTGCATTTTCGCGTTCGAGTATTATATATTGATAGTTAAAATTGATTAATAATTTGCCCAAAATAACTCGTGAATAATTTTATGATTCATCACTCGATCGTTACAATTAATCAATTTGTTTTATTTGCTGTTAGATTCTTTTTATATAGGTCCACACATATGTTACCTAAATATCTATAAACAGGTATACTGATAGCAAGCGACTCACAAAACAAGTCTTAACATTTAAAGATTAATCGGATATCTTAATATCGCCCCAACCCAGACTTTACCATAAAAAATGAGCGAACACACGTGGCCATTGGACTCCTGATAACGTAATGCTGTTGACATCTAGATTATAGGGTACAATACAAACATAAGCATGAGATGTTACGTAATGAAGTAGGGGTCATTAAAGTAACCTACACCTGAGCTAGGACAAACAGGCCCAGTAAACGAGTTGGAAATATAACTCTCTTGCGATGTAATTTAAAGGGTGCCCATAGTAAAAGTATAGTCAGATTTCCTCCGTTTTTGACTTAATTTAGAACACAGCACGGTCACTTCCGACGATGAGTTTTTTTGGTCAATCGTGGGTCGATCGCAAACATTTTACATTTCTGACCTTTTCTCAAGAACCGGTGAATGAATTTATTCAAACGGGGAGAGAACAATCTTTGGAGATAGAGTGTATGCAACATAAAGATTCTGTCCCAACCCTAGGGGCCAGGGAGCGGTCCCAAAGTGATTTTTTGTTAAACTTTTCGTTAGAAAGTAAAAACTGCCGAGTCCTCGTAGCCATTTGCGTCTTTTTAGAGTGTATGATACACAGCATTTGTTAGGTTAGAATGCAATGAGGTCATATGAAAAAAATAATATACAATCAAGTTTAAGAAAAATATTTTTTTATTCTTTTGGGAAGTATGAATATGCAATATTGACAACTAAATACAACTACTTGATGACATTATCGAATATAACTCAATATAGTTCAAGGGATAAACCCATTGCTTTCAACCCTGTATATTCGTACTTATTTTACGTAGCATCTGTCTAATACTGTCAATGAAATGCACCAGTTCCTTTACTGACAAGGTACATATGAAAACTGTCAGATGGGACAATACATGTTATGGGGTTAACCTTAGGCTCACAAATAATATGTATATATATATGGACAAGGAGGTATAATTCTAATTGTAGACATTTCCTGTGAAATTCCAATGAAACATTGTGTAAGGTCATATGAAAACACCGAAAGATATGCATACTTTGACCTCACAATGTGTCTACACTGTTAGAATTACTTGCTTGTCCTACATACAAATTTAAAGTAATCCGTATCCTACAACATATGTTTGCAAGGAGCCTGTACTATTTGGGAAGTTACCGTTGATATTACTTTTTTGACACACACACACACGCACACACACACACACACACACACACACACACATATATATTGCACTGTTTAAAAATAGCATACTATAGAATAAACGGTAAAGTAGTAGGAACAAAACACATAGATATTCAAAACGCTTTTAAAGTATAACAAAACATCAAACCATCTACACACTGTTAAATAACAACGTTGTCTTACAACAAAACAAAGGCACTATGTTCAGTATGACGGGGAAATATGGCGTATTGAATGTTTATTCACATTTTTTAACCTTACCCGAGCATGACTTTGTTAAGTACATACCATTGTGAAATTGTGATCTGTGTTCCTCCTTCATTTCCTACATGTTTTTATGACATTATAAGCTATACATCCTAAGGATGTCACATCAGATCATATAGCCTTATTTAAGCTTATCAGCTCTGACACATAAAATGTAGTGCTACAATGTCACTAGAGACTGTCACGTTTACCAACTTTCAACCTATACATTCTCCCTGCCACCATGAGTGAATATGTCTTTTTCTTAGTCTTTGTAATACTTAACCGTTTTAATCTCCGAATTGCGTGCATTTGAATCGGACCGTTTCTTCAGCAGTTTTCCAAACATTCCTCGTTTCTCTAACTTGTATGTATAAACATGTACCCACAATACATCATCAGGTTGAACGTTGATGGCTGCAACAGAAAAGCTTCCAACACATTTGATGATTGTTTTCAGATACTGTCCAGTTCCACTCATCAGTTTAACATCATTGTTGACAACAACAAAAAGATTACCTTTGCTATCGTACACAGCGCCCCATGGACAAAGCGACGAAATCTCTGTTTCTCGCTCTTCTCCATTTTCGCCTATGTCAAACCTGAATTTGAGTTCTTGATCATACACACGAACGTAACTAGACCAAGTTCCGTCATCCTTTTGTTCCCAACTGGTTACTGCAAAGCGTCCTGTCACTGAACACTCCGAGATAGAAAACGGCGTCCCAAGCACCGAGCCTTTCTTGTAAGCAGAGGTTGAGAGCATCAGTTGACCTTCTGTTGTGTAGATACTCAGTTTTCCTTCCTTCATATCTTTTGTACCAACTACCACATTTCCCTCCTTTGAGATGCAGATACATGTCGGCCATGCATCTACAGCAAATCTAGTGATTGGAACAATCGAGGATGCTGGTACTTCATTGATGGAGAAGTTGTTCCTACAACAAAACCATAGATTGCCTGCTTGTGAAATGCTGATATCCATAATATTACTGTCGGTATACTGGATCCTTTGCTTTATTTGCCCTTTTGCGTCTACCAACATCAACTCATCCGAATCATTATCACAGAGCCAAGCACCAGATGTGGTGGGGCAGATTGAACTACAATCCATAGGACTCTTGAATTTTGTCAGGCCAACGGATTCATCTAGAAATTCTTCTTTTGATCGGATCGTTTCTGAAAAAGTATTCAGAGGTCTTGAGAAAGAATTCAACATGCCCAAAGCCTTCCGCAACTGGTCTGTGATTAACGTACAAGGATGGAAGTCGGCTTCGTGCAACACCGGTGCTTCTGAGATGTCCTCAGCGGATAGGTCAGACGCCGAATCATAAACTAGGATATCTGTACCCGTTTGAAGTATTTCCTTGCACTCTCTCACTTGTTCAAGAAGAGAGGTGTACCGTTGTTGGAGTTCCTCCTTGTACTTCATAAGTAGGTCTCTGTTGTCTCTTTCTAAACTGTCACAGATGGAGACAAACTCGTCGGTAAGGACATCGATTTGTTTTTTACATACCTGTCCCTGCTTCTTCACTTGCTGGCCAAGATCCTTAAAGTTGGTGTCGTTTTCAAGGATTTTGTTTTCAATTGATTGCATTTCATTCTGTAGTTGAATGAGTTTGTTATTTTCAATGTCGTGAATGAAATCCTGCAAAACATCCTTCTTCTGTGGCGCTATGTCCGATATTTCAGTAAGTGTATGGCCACTGTGAGTCGATATACTGCACGAAAGACATACCAAAATACTGCAGTCAGTACAGTGTAAAATCACATCCTTAGTTTTGTGGACAGAGCACTTTGTATTCCCTTTCCTCCGGATAGGTATCTGGCCCTGCAGTTCTGTCAGAGGTACGTTGGAAGCCATTGTATATGGCTACCGCCCTGTCTTGTTGTGAAGTCTCTGCTTGTTTTAATATTTGCTGGTGGGTTCCGTATTGTCAAGTGCAAAAGATAATGTGGACACAGATTGACACCTGGACTTTGTTATCAGCTCTATAACATCGTGTTATTAGCTGTATAAACATACATATGTGTATATGTGTTAGCAAAATGGAGTCCGATTCTATAGGGGGTGTTGTGTTACATCTATAACGACAGTAAGCTGGCAATACTGACAATCGGAGGCGTGGTGACTTGTTTATGAGAGTAAACTGCATCGTTGTTAATAAGGTAATACATCATAAAAAAAAACTCCATAATTTGCCCAAAATTACGATGGCCGATATGGGCAGGCAGAAACGTATCATAATTTCATATAAATCTGCCCGGCAGTTTTCTCAAGGAAAAATATGTCCGGCAGAAATGTATCATGACTTAATATAAATCTGCCCGGCAGTATTCTCAGAGAAAAATATGTCCGGCAAAAATGTATCATGACTTAATACAAATCTGCCCCGCATTTTTTTGTGTGAAAAAGATGTCCGACAGAAAGCTTCTTAGCAATATATCTACCAGATAAAAGGGGTTAGCACAGGAGTGTTATCTCAGGAAACGAAACAGAACACAAAACAAATCCCAAAATTAATTACTTTTACCTTTACGCTGTAAATGGCAGCGGGCACCATTTGTCATAAATTCAACAACTATAAGAGACTTCGGAATCAAATTAGACAAACATTAGCAAAATATAGAGCTTAGATACAATAAGTTGGCTAGTTACAGACAGATATCAGAAGGTGACATATCATATTATTTATATGTAACATTATAAGATGTGGATATAGAGGCAGTCAGTGCCTGTGTCCAGTACTCATCCTATTAAAATGACGAAAATAATCTGATAATCTTACATAATGTATAGAAATGAGCACATCCTAATGTTTCCCAGTAATATTGATCATTTCTCTTTGAAAGGCATTTATTCTGAAAACTGATTATGAAGACAGAGGGAATGGGATTAAATTCCCGCTAGTGGGTGATGGCTAATTTACTCTTAATGATTTGCGGTATTATTGTTTTAAAACTATTTCATTCCTCCCATTGCTTCGACATCTGGAACTAAGCCAGCCAGTAAATCTTGTGAGAAATATTAACATTATTACAATGTTACCACTAATACAAAAGGCATTTACACTTTAGTATCTATACTTTAACTCGTACGGAGCTCTGAAAATTGAAGTTGTTATCTTTATTCTTATCCCCAATTCAAGAGGGAGCATTTCCAAGGGCTCCTTTTCATACTTTTCAGGACACATTTTTCTCTAAGAAAACTGCCTGGCAGATTTATGTGAAGTCATGATACATTTCTTCGGGACATATTTATCTCTGCAAAAACTGCCGGGCAGATTTATATAAAGTCATGATACGTTTCTGCCGGCCAATATAGGCCATCGTACAACATAACTCTTGAATTCTTTTATTAATCTAAATAAAATTAACGAATATGTGAAAGGGGTGTGTGTAGGGGAGGAGGGGGTTATTATATGGCCTCGATTAGATGTGAATAGGTGGCACAAATGAAACAGAATTAAACATATATCACCTCGTCGTAGACTTAAAGGCAACGAGCGACTCACTAAACAAGTCTTAGCACTCAGTATGTTACCCAATAAATATTGCGTCTGTAAACATTAATTTACTAACTTATCATCGCCCGAGTCCAGACTAAACCATCAAAAATGCGCGAGCCCACGTGGCCATTGGACTTCTGATCACTTAATGCTGATAACTACTAGGTTATAAAAAATACAAAAATAAGAATAAGAAGTTACTTATGAAATAGGGGTCATTAAAAGTAAACTACACATGAGCTGGGACAAAGGTAGACTCAGTAAACGAGTTGGAATTATAACTCTCTTACGATGGATCTTAAAAGGTCCCCATGGTAAACGCATTGTCAGTTTTCCTCCCTTTTGCCTATATTTAGAACAGAGCACGGTCACTTCCGACGATGAGTTTTGTGGTCAATCGTGGGTTGAGAACCGGTGAATAAGTTTATTCAAACGTGGTGAGAATAATCTTTGGAGAAAGAATGTATCCAACATAAAGATTCTGTCCCAACCCAAGGGGCCAGGGAGCGGTCTCAAAGTGATTTAAATAAAAAATCGTTAGAAAGTAAAAACTGCGCGAGTCCTTGTAGCCATTTGCGTCTTTCTAAGAGTGTATGGTACACAGCATTTGTTAAGTTTGAATGCAGTGAGGTCATATGAAAAAGAAAATACACAATCAAGTTTAAGAACAATTACGTTTTATTCTTTTGGGAATTATGAATATGCAATATTGACAATTATATACAATTACATGATGACAATATGGATGGAATAGAACTCGATTATTCAAGGGATAAACCCATTGCTCTCAACCCTGTATATTCGTACTTATTTTACGTAGCATTTATCTAATACTGTCAATGAAATGCACCAGTTCCTTTATTGACAAGGTACATATGAAAACTTTCAGATGGGACAATACATACTAGGGGGTTAAACTTAGGTTCACAAATAATATGTATATATATATGGACAAGGAGGTATAATTCTAATTGTAGACATTTCCTGTGAAATTCCAGTTAAACATTATGTAAGGTCATATGAAAATACCGAAAGATATGCATACTTTGACCTCACAATGTGTCTACACTGTTAGATTTACTTGCTTGTCCTATATACAAATTATAGTTATTCGTATCCTACAACATATGTTTGAAAGGAGCCAGTGGTATTTGGGAAGTTACCGTTGATATTACTTTTTTGACACGCACATACACCCACACCTACACCCACACACACAAATATATATATATATATATATATTGCACTGTTTAAAAATAGCATACTATAGATTAAACGGTAAAGTAGTAGGAACAAAACACAGATATTCAAAACGCTTTTAAAGTATAACAAAACATCAAAACATCTACACACTGTTAAATAACAATGTAGTCTTACAGCAAAACAAAGGCACTAAGTTCAGTATGACGGGGAAATATGGAGAAATGAATGTTTATTCACATTTTCTGGCCTTACCAAAACGTGACTTTGTTAAGTACATATCATTGTGAAATGTGATCTTTGTTCCTCCTTCATTTTTTACATGTCAGAATTTGAAGTTACAAATGTTATCCTAACATAATAGGCTCGACATCCTAAGGATGTCACATCAGATCATATAGCCTTATTTATGCTTATTAGCTCTGACACATATAATGTAGTGCTACAATGTCACTAGAGACGGGTACTTTTACCAACTTTCAACCTAAACATTTTCCCTGCCACCATGAGTGAATATGCCTTTCTCTTAGTCTTTGTAGTACTTTACAGTTTTAATCTCCGACTTGCATGCAATTGAGTCGGACTGTTTTTTCAACAGTTTTCCAAACATTCCCCGTTTGGCTAGCTTGTGTGCATAAAGATGTACCCACAATACATCATCACGTTGAACACCGATGGCCACAATGGTTGAGTTTTCATCTTGTATGTTAATTGTACGCAGGTACTGTCCAGTTCCTTCCAAAACTTTTACTACATTTATGAGGTCAATAAGAAGATGGCCATTGCTATCATACACAGCACACCTTGGACAAAACGATGTTTTTACTGTTTTTCCTTCTGATCCATCTTCGCAAATGTCAAATTTGAATTTCAATTTTTTATCATATACAACAATTCTACGAGACCAAGTTCCATTATCACCCTCTTTTTCCCAACTGTTTACTGCAAAGTTACCTGTAACTGAACACTCCGAGATGGAATGCGGCGTCCCAAGCCCCGAGCCTTTCTTGTTTGCAGAGGTTGAGAGTATTGATTGACCTTCTGTTGTGTAGATAAACAGTTTCCCTTCCGGAAAGTTTGCATTCTTTGTGCCAACCGCCACGTTTCCATCCTTTGTGATGCAGATACATGTCGGCCAGGTATCTGCTTCAAATCTAGTAATTGGAACAATCGAGGATGCTGGTACTTCATTGATGGAGAAGTTTTCACAGCAGCAAAACCACAGATTGCCTGCTTGTGAAATGCTGATATCCATAATATTACTGTCGGGATACTTGATCCTTTGCATTGTTTGTCCTTTTGCGTCTACCAACAACAACACATTCGATTCATTATCACAGAGCCAAGCACCAGAGGTGGTGGGGCAGACTGAAGTACAATCAATAGGACTCTTGAATTTTGTCAGGCAAACGGATTCATCCAGAAATTCTTCCAGTAATGTAGATCCTTCTGCAATAGCCTTTGATCCGATCTTTTCTGAAGAAGCATTTGGAGGTCCTGAGGAAGTATTCAACATGCCCAAAGCCTTTCGCAACTGGTAAGTGATTAACGCACAAGGATGGAAGTCGGCTTCGTGCAACACCGGTGCTTCTGGGATTTCCTCAGCGGATAGGTCAGACGCTGAATCATAAACTAGGATATCTGTACCCGTTTGAAGTATTTCTTTGCACTCTCTCATCTGTTCAAGAAGAGACGTGTACCGTTGTTGGAGGTCCTCTTTGTACTTCAAAAGCAAGTCTCTGTTGTCTTTTTCTAAACTGTCACAGATGGAGACAAACTCGTCGGTAAGGACATCGATTTGTTTTTTACATACCTCCCCCTGCGTCTTCACTTGCTGGCCAAGATCCTTAAAGTTGGTGTCGTTTTCATGAATTTTGTTTTCAATTGATTGCATTTCATTCTGTAGTTGAATGAGTTTGTTATTTTCAATGTCGTGAATAAAATCCTGCAAAACATCCTTCTTCTGTAGCGCTATGTCCGATATTTCCGTAAGTGTATGGCCATTGTGAGTCGATATACTGCACGAAAGACATACCAAAATCTTGCATTCAGTACAGTGTAAAATCACATCCTTATTTCTATGGGCAGAGCACTTTGTATTCCCTTTCCTCCGGATAGGTATCTGGCCCTGCAGTCCTGTCAGAGGTACGTTGGAAGCCATTGTATATGGCGACCGCTTTGTCTGTTTGTCTTAAGATGGCGTCAATACTACCAGGATGTGAAACTGACTGGTGTTTGTTCTACGTACATGCGCGACCTAATTTTAAACATCATAACCGGTTTTCATAAGGCTACGAGTTGTAAAGCACTGCGAGTGTATAAACATTCTAACCCGGATGTTAAATCGAGTGAAGCGTATCAGAGACATATAATACAAAGGTATCGAGTTTTCTTTGTATCAATTCATTTATGCAATAGAAATCAAACCAACGGCATCGTATGATTTGTTTGTTCGAAACATGAAATATATGATATGAAGTCGCTTGAAACCGATTGTGTTCTGTGAAAGAGGATTGATGATAATCTCTTGGTTGATAATAATGACAGTCATCTCATTTTTGTTATCTTCCACCAGAAAGGGTTAATATCCATTGCATATTCAATGTATACCATATACAATGGTTTGCTTAGTTAAGAAAATAAACTCCTGGCGGCCATCTCGAATTTCCTATCAATATCAAAATCAAACATGCATTTCTTGAGCATGCATGCATGAAAAACAAAGGAGTAAGGGAAACGTGTACATGAAAATTCAGAGAGACCTTTCAAGCACTTTTTGAGAAATAGCAAAAAAAACCTTTGACCATCAATATCCAAGATGTCTGCCTAGATTGTAATTTGAAAAAGATCCACCCAGCTATAATTTCACGAATCCTTTAAATATGGACTACAGACGAAGAGCCCATTACCATTACCTTACGATGGTGGGCTAAATAGCAAAACAAAACAAGTTGTCCTTAGGGCCTGTATCTGTTACCCGAACCAGGTATTATACTGAATTGTCCCTCATATTCAAATGTAACTTCAGATAAAATGCAGTTTAAATCCCTTTGTTTTTTTTTCAATTTCAAATTCAACAGTTTCATTGACTTTATATACAATGTATGTCAATTGGATTGGACATCAGGCTAGGTCTATTTAAGTCCTTTTTAAAATTGTCATCATTACAAACATTATATATATCCTGTCATAACAATCCAAATAAACAGTGTAGGGGATATAACTCCAATTTAGTTTGTGAAATAGATATTTTATTATTATAATTCAATCGTTTTCTGCTTATGATTTGGATATTAACAATTAAATAAATCATGTATATTTGTTGACAACCCATCTTACAAAAAAAAAATCCAAGGGGTACAGGCCCAAAAGTCCCTGTGTATATACACATTGACCATCCACCCACTGGATATATAGGATAACCTACTAAGAAATACACATTTTGTAAAATTTCAGAATACGATATGGATTCATATGGTAAATTGTAGTTTATTATTGTTTATCATTAGTGTTGATTCTCTTAAAATTTACCTAACAAATTACTACAGGATAATCATGTAATTATAAAATGATTAGAACAGGGTTTAGAGTTGTAATCATAATATTTCCATCCAGTCCAGTCAAATACCAGAGATGTTGTGAAGATAGATATACAAAATGTATACAACAGTAATCATATTTATCAGCAGAGTGATACTATAAATATTAGCATCACTTTCAATATTTAGTTTGATTGTGAGTGAAATTACATATCAGGTCTATAAGTTTGACGAATAAAGTTAGACATAAGCATAAAATGTATTTGTTGGTATCAGTGCTGCATATTATGCACCGATTTAATAGTTTTTGGATTAAAATTATCATGGTTATCAGTTATACTAAATTGAGAAATGTTTCGAACTAATTGCATTCAAATGTAAAATGAAATTTATTTCCATTTTTCATGTCCACATCTACATACTGGTGTGTCATTCAGATGATCCGTTAATAAGTCACTATTTAGGTTGCTAGCATGATGTTTAAGCTGACAAATTAGGATAATCCCTTTATCATCACTGAACTAGTATTTTAGATATTTACCTATAACCTACAGGGTTCTGTACCTCTGCCCGCAGGGGTGTTACACCTTGTGATGCTTCTGACAAGATCTGATAAAATTCTGAATGCATGTTCAGAGGTAGGTGAGCTAATATATAAAACATGCTGGTTCTGTGTGGGATTCATACCTAAACTGTGAGATATGACACAGCGTATAGCTGCGAGTTTATCACAAATCGTCATTATTACACCTCAAGCGTCAACAAAAGTAACTGTTCCAGAGCTGGGAATTGATAGGGTGACCATGGTAAAGCATTGTCAGTTTTCTTTTCTATTTGCCTATTCAGAACAGAGCACGATCAACTTATTTTTGGTTGTGGTTAATCTTGAGTCGACCGCAAACGTTTTACATTTCTGATTTCTTCTCAAGAACATGAGAATGAATTTCACAACCGTGTTAGGAATCATCCTTGGTGAAAGAGTGTATCCTATTGTAAAATTAAGGTTTATGACCAAACTCCAGGGGCCAGGAAACAGTCCAAGAGGAAAAAATTGACTTATATTAGAAACGTTTCTTCTCCACAATACTAAGTACTCTTCCTGGATGCAAAAAGCCTTAGGTCTAAATGTCATTACCCCCGAGGCATCCGTTTTCCATTTGGGAGTTGGTAAAATTTACTCTAGCTTATATAAGGAAGAACAATTTTAGATATTTTTGTCCTTGCTTGGAATAATTATGATGGGATGACAATTAGATGGAAGAAGAAAATATGATCCTGCATCGCCTCGGGAACCGTAGGAACACAGGTTCATCCGATGGAAAATGGCTAAAATTTCAAAAATGTTCTTTCTGAAATTCGGATAAACTAGAATCAAATACTCTTCATGAATGGAATTGACGATATGTGTTTTAACTAAATTGTTTCTCGGTTTCTGACGTACCCCTAGGGTAGGTCAGAGGGGAAAATTCGCTAAATGACAAAAATATTATTCCTCATCTGATACCAAGATAGTTTATTTGAATATTTTGGTATCATTGTCCCTTTGGTGTCATAACAAGTAATGTATTATTTCTTTGTTTACATGTTTATATCCATTTCCTCATACAATAAAAACTGCCTGTAATATAACTGATGTGACCGTTAAGGCGCGTGAGCCTTTTGATCTTTTTACACAGCACGCAGTCTGACAAGTCCCGATAAGAACATTGTTTATTGAGTTATGCACATTCATATATCTTTCAGTTACATATACAGCAGAATGTGTCAGTTAAGTGTCCGGAGTACTTTAATTACCAATTAATTATTACCAAAAATTATTTTGTAATACTGAAGATATTACTTTCGAAGATTTAGCGAAAAAGATTTATACAAAACGTCAACACCTCTACACACTGCTAAAACACCTTTATCTGAGAGACATGTTCAGTTCAGTATGATGGAATAATACGTACAAATTAATGTTAATTCACATTTTGTGTCCTAACGCGAACGTATCTTTAGTAAATGCATACAATTGTGAAATTGTGATCGTTGTTCGTCTTTCATTTCTTACATGTCAGTAAATGAAGTTACAAATGTTATCATGACATAATAAGCTTAACATCCTTAGGATGTCATATGATATCATATAGCCTTATTAAAGTTTATAAGCGCTGACACATAAAACGTATTGTGCCACAATGTCACTAGAAACTGGTACTTTAACCAGGTACCCACCATACCATTATCCCTACTGTCAAGGGTGAATGTGTCCATCCGTTAGTCTTTGTAATACTTTGTAGTTTTAATCTCTGACTTGCATGCAGTTGAGTCGGATCGTTTCCTAAGCAGTTTTCCAAACGTTCTCCGTTTCTCTAACTTGTTTGCATAAAAATGTACCCACAATACATCATCAGGTTGAACGCCGAAGGTTACAACAGTAAAACTTCCATCATCTTTGATAATTGTCCTCAGATACTGCCCATTTCCACTCATCAGTTTTACCATATTGTTGAATCCAACAAGTAAATGTCCTTTGCTATCGTAAGCAGCACCCCATGGACAACGCGACGACATCTCTATTTCTCGTTCTTCTCCATATTTGCCCATGTCAAACCTGAATTTGAGTTCTTGATCATACACACGAACGTTACTAGACCAAGTTCCATCCTCATTCTTTTTTTCCCAACTGGTTACTGCAAAGCTTCCTGTTACTGAACACTCCGAGATAGAAAACGGCGTACCAAACACCGAACCTTTCTTGTAAGCAAAGGTTGAGCGCATCAAATGACCTTCTGTTGTGTAGATACTCAGTTTTCCTTCCGGATCCTTCACATGTCTTGTACCAACTACCACATTTCCCTCCTTTGTGATGCAGATACTTGTCGGCCATGTATCAGCTTCAAATCTAGTGATTGGAACAAACGAGGATGCTGCTACTTCATTGATGGAGAAGTTGTTCCTACAGCAAAACCACAGATTGCCTGCTTGTGAAATGCTGATATCCATAATATTACTGCCGGGATACTGGATCCTTTGCTTTATTACTCCTTTTGCGTCTACCAACAACAACACATTCGATTCATTGTCATAGAGCCAAGCACCAGAGGCGGTGGGGCAGACTGAAGTACAATCCATAGGACTCTTAAATTTTGTCAACACAGCGGGTTCATCTAGAAATTGCACCTGTAATGTAGATCCTTCTGCAATAGCCTTTGATTGGATCTTTTCTGAAGAAGTATTCAGAGGTCCTGATGAAGTATTCAACATGCCTAACGCCTTCCGCAACTGGTCAGTGATTAATGTACAAGGATGAAAGTCACCTTCGTGCAACACCGGTACTTCTGGGATGTACACAGCGGATAGGTCAGACACCGAATCATAAACTAGGATATCTGTACCCGTTTGTAGTATTTCCTTGCATTCTCTCACCTGTTCAAGAAGAGACTTGTACCGTTGTTGGAGTTCATCCTTGTACTTCAAAAGCAAGTCTCTATTATCTCTTTCTAAATTGTCACAGATGGAGACAAACTCGTCGGTAAGGACATCGATTTGTTTTTTACATACCTCCCCCTGCTTCTTCACTTGCTGGCCAAGATCCTTAAAGTTGGTGTCGTTTTCATGGATTTTGTTTTCAATTGATTGCATTTCATTCTGTAGTTGAATGAGTTTGTTATTTTCAATGTCGTGAATAAAATCCTGCAAAACATCCTTCCTCTGTAGCGCTATGTCCGATATTTCCGTAAGTGTATGGCCACTGTGAGTCGATATACTGCACGAAAGACACACCAAAATACTGCAGTCAGTACAGTGTAAAATCACATCCTTATTTCTATGGGCAGAGCACTTTGTATTCCCTTTCCTCCGGATAGGTATCTGGCCCTGCAGTCCTGTCAGAGGTACGTTGGAAGCCATTGTATATGGCGACCGCCTTGACTGTTTTTCTCAAAATGGCGTCAAAACTACCAGGGTGTCACTACTGGCTGGTGTTAGCTCTATACGTACATACGCAATCTAATTTTAAACATAATAACTGGTTTTTATTAGGCTACGGTTTGTTATGCGTTGCGAGTTATAACAAAACATTAGTGTATAAATATTCTAACCGGGATGTAAAAAAGAGTGAAGCATATCAGAGACGTATAATGAAGAGTAGTCCTAATTATTCTGACGTTTTATCGACTTTTTTCATATCGGTATGACGTCGATTAACGTCGTTAATCGACCACAGACCGATATGAAAAAAGTCGATAAAACGTCAGAATAATTCGAACTAAATGAAGAGATATCGATTTTTTTCTTTGTAGGACAATGGATATATGAAAACATTTTCGTTGACGAGTTATGTTTTCTTGATCAAAATTACATTTGCTACAGTATGTAAACTAACGGCATTGTGTCGATGTTTTTGTTCGAAACATGGATGAAATATATGATTTGAAATTTGAGGACTAAGGGGAACGTTTACATGAAAATTCAGAAAGACCTGTCAAGCACTTTTTGAAAAAATATCCAAAAAACCTTTGACCATCAAAATCCAAGATGTCTGCTTAAATTAAAATTTGAAAAAGATTCACCCAGCTATAATTTCACGAATCCTTTAAATATGGACTACAGACGAAGAGCCCATTACCATTACCTTACGATGGTGGGCTAAATAGCCAAACAAAACAAGTTGTCCTTAGGGCCTGTATCTCTCATCTATTACCTAATCGAGGTATGATATGGAAATCATTACCCGTATCTAAATGAAACGTCAGATCAAATGCAATATAAATCCCTTGATAAGTACTAAAGATGTGTTTTAGATATTTATCTTTAACCCTATAGGATTATGTACCTCTGCCCGCAGGAGTGTCACATTGTGTGATGTTTAAGACCAAATCTAATTGAAATCTGTATTGAAATGTTCAGAGGGATTCGGCTTTTACATTTAGGACCAAGATAACGAATGTGTGACGAAGGATCGATGATGGCGCCACTGAAAAGCCTCATAATTATGGTCCTTTTGGCCAGGTAAGCCAAAACATAGATATATTTCAAACTGACATCTTTGCTTAAAGATATGAAATATTAGTTTGATCACTGACTTTTTACTTTCTCAATAACATATTGATTTTTTGAAATTATTGTAAATATGGGAACGAAAGTTGTATTTCAGAAAAACTACTGATCAACAGTGTGTTGCTGTATGATAGCCAATGGTAAACATGCCATGTGTACGGAAGCTGCGTAACTCGTATGTTACGATTTATTGAATATTATCTGCCTTACTTATCTGGTTTATAGACTCAATTTGTTAAACAAATGAATAATATATTACTTTCCAATTATGCCACAACAAGCTAGATGTCCTTGTAAAGAGGCCCATCCTCGATTATCCAGGGGTTACGCTCTCTGCACCCCTGGAATATGTCATGACAAAATCGGGTGCATCGCCTTGTGGATGAGACGAGAAGACTAGTTTGGTCACTTGATGTACATCAAAAGAATCTGTCGGTCGCTTTGAAGTCAGATGTTACTCCTCTGTAATCTTCAAAGGACAGGTACACTGTATCAGCTTAGCGATTGGACAGGTTTTTTTTACCCAACACAATCAAATATCTAGTGGCGTGCCTTCAAATTTGCTACGACATATTCCAGGGGTGCAGAGAGCAATTTAAAGGTTCAACAAGCCCCCTGAAAGATGTAATAGTCGCCCCAAATTTCAAACCCTGGCAAGTCATATTCAAATACCCTTATCAAAAATCGGAATATATATATATATGTAATTTAAATGTATTGAACATGTACATGAGCTATCAAAAAGGTACATAACAAGGCTAACGAGGTCAAAATACGGCATTAAGGTAATGATAAAAGTTGCCCACCAGATTTATAACATGTCAATCTCTTAAAGTAATAGGATTGTGTCGTCATTTATCAGTAGAATTTATTCAAATTTTGTAGTTATATTGCTTTGAAGTAAAGAAAATTTTCTGCCACAAAAAAAAATAAAGGTTGTCTGAATTTTAAGGATTTTAAATGGAAATTTATGTAAAAAGGATTGAATTTTGAAAAAAATATTGAAACACACATTCTTTTTGCAAAATAATGTCAATAAAAATTATACTAACATAGATAAGTATTGCATTAATGTATATCAATTTCATAAATGCTGAAATTGTGTAAAATTAATCATCTATAAACGATTAAAAATTGACATTTTATAATAAAACTATATACACATAGTAATTGCATGCAAGAGTTATCGTTCTTGAAAAAAATCACAGTAGTGAAATAGGTAGCCGGTTTCCTGAAGTACAGAAAAATGGACACATGTGACTCATTGATTAAAAAACAACTGAATTAATACCTGGGTTGCTTTGCAATACTTTAATATTGAAAGAAGACACTGTTCTGTCAATAATAAGCATACAATATTCATCAGTTTAATATTAAACATTAGAATATGCGGTAGCCTAGTGGTAGGACGCCGGGCTCGTGACCGAAGGGTTGTGAGTTCGACTCTCGTCACGGCACTGTATTGTATCTTTGAGTAAGATACTTTACTCCGCTTGTTCCAGTCTACTCAGCTGTAAATGAGTACGTAGATGGGTAGTGCAAAATTGTAGAATGCTAGCTGTGTGCGCCGAAATGGCAACACCGGCTGTATGCTCCCCAGGTCGTTGAGAAAGATATTGGCTGGTTGTAAAGGCCCTATAACCACAGATAATAATGTGTGAAGTGCTATGAGATGACCTACAAACTAGGTTGTGATAGAGCGGTATATAAGAACCTCGAATTATTATTATTAATTATTATTATTTCTCTTGAACCATGTATGGAGAAGTATACAGGACTCACAAGAAGATGATTGTTGCTATGGGAAAGTACAACAAGAGGCCCAGAGGGCCTGTATCGCTCACCTGTTTCTCTTGTTACATGAAACTGACATATAGGTAATTCAAGACTAAATTTGGTAACTAGAACACAAGCCATTTTGACAACTCTTAAACGGTTCTGAAGATGTTGTTGTTTGAAATTTGAAATTTTAATTTTAAAGCTTTTAACCAACATTGACCTTTGACTCAATTATCCTAGGCTTCTTGGTTAGTGAGAAGAAGTTATTTAAAGGTTTTAAACATACGTCAAGGTCATTCATTTAAAAAAACTTAGTAGCCCTTCATCCCTGTATACTACAGGTCCAATATCAGTACCCGGGGCCATTTGAATATTGAGAAGTTGTTTGAACATTTTAAGACATGTGACACCTGTGAGCTTGAAAGTGGGTCAAGGTCATTCATCCAGCATGCTACAGGCCCAATTTCAGTACCCTGGGCCTTTTGGTTATTGAGAAGAAGTCGTTTGAAGATTTTAAGACATCTGACCCAAGTGACCTTGAAAGTGGGTCAAGGTCATTCATTTGAACAAACTTGGCAGTTCTTCATCCCAGCATGCTTCAGGCCAAATATCAGTACTCTGGCTCTTTCGGTTGTTGAGAAGTAGTTTAATGGAAAAATTGACGCCGGACGCTGCACTGAGGCAAAAGCTCACTTGCCCTTCAAGCAGCCGAGCTAACAATTCACACAGCTGTTCTACATAACATACCCAAGTATCATGACTTCAGTCCAAATGGTTCTTAGGATATTGTTGTGTGAAGTTTACATATTTGACCCCTGTGACCTTGAAAGTAGGTCAAGGTCATTTTAATGAAGAAACTTTATAGCACTTTATCCCAGGTTCCTACTGGCCAAATATCATGACCCTGGGCCTTATGGAACTTGGGATTAAGATTGTTAAAGCTTTTAACCCACATTGACCTTTGACCACTGACTAGCACTTAAAATTGACCTTAGACTTCATTACTGTAATTGAGACACAAGTATCATGATTCTAGTTCAAATGGTTCTTAGGATATTGTTGTGTGAAGGTTACATATTTGACCCCTGTGACCTTGAAAGTAGGTCAAGGTCATTTTAATGAAGAAACTTTATAGCACTTTATCCCAGGTTCCTACTGGCCAAATATCATGCCCCTGGGCCTTATGGAACTTGGGATAAAGATTGTTAAAGCTTTTAACCCACCTTGACCTTTGACCACTGACTAGCACTTAGAATTGACCTTAGACTTCATTACTGTAATTGAGACACAAGTATCATGATTCTAGTTCAAATGGTTCTTAGGATATTGTTGTGTGAAGGTTACATATTTGACCCCTGTGACCTTGAACGTATGTCAAGGTCATTTTTATAGCACTACATCCCAGGTACCTACTGTCCAAATATCATGATCCTGGGCTTTATTGAAGCTGAGAAGAAGATTGTTAAAGCTTTTAACCCATGTTGATGTTTGACCCCTGACTAGCACTTAATGTTGACCTTTGACCTAATTACTGTAATTAAGAAAAAGATTTGAACTGTTGGTCTCCATGACATACGTATGCCCTGCTGGTCTACATAACATACCAATGTATCATGACTCTAGTCCAAATGGTTCTTAGGATATTGTTGTGTGAAGGTTACATATTTGACCCCTGTGACCTTGAAAGTATGTCAAGGCCATTTTTATAGCACTCCATCCCAGGTACCTACTGGCCAAATATCATGATCCTGGGCTTTATTGGACCTGAGAAGAAGATTGTTAAAGCTTTTAACCCATGTTGATGTTTGACCCCTGACTAGCACTTAATGTTGACCTTTGACCTAATTACTGTAATTAAGAAAAAGATTTGAACTGTTGGTCTCCATGACATACGTATACCCTGCTGGTCTACATAACATACCAAAGTATCATGACTCTAGTCCAAATGGTTCTTAGGATATTGTTGTTTGAAGCTTTTCCTACTGGCCAAATATCATGACCCCAGGTCCTCCAGTTCTTCAGAAGTCGTTCAAAAGAAAAAGTTCACAGACGGACGACGGACAGACGACAGACGGGCCCAGGTGAGCTAAAAATCATAGTAAAACGTCTGTGTAACATATTTTACCGGTATATATGTGTAAAACCATAGACCTTTGACCATAAACACTACTTAAACTTCGAACAAAATGTCCTTTCTTAACATTCAATGTTTGTATAAAAGAGCGAGACTTGTTATAAACATTATTATACTTTTCAGCTTCAATGTTTATAACATGTCTAGCGCATTCATATAATCACAGAATGTTTTCAAATGGCACATCATCTAAAGTTCATTTATCGATCAAGGTTACTTAGCCGTTGTTTGCTTATTAATAAATTGCTAAAACGTATTACCAGGGGATTTACTAAGATGTTGGTGGTTTCACATGGCAACATCTATCTTTGTTTGAGGTCGTAATTCCTCTCAGAAGCTAGTAGAAGAGAAATAAAGCTCTGCATGACCTAGGTATATAATTAAACTTTTAAGATATGGGTCCTTTCTAAGCACACAGCTGGATCGCAAAAAAGATTGACATGTTATAAGTCTAGTGAGCTGTTTTTATAAGGGCATCAGCCTTAATGCCTTATTGTTGACTAGTTAACCTGGCTATGTATTTTTTGTATAGCCAATATACAAGTTCAATATATATACAAATAGCATATAAAAGGTCCGATTTTTAATTGAGGTCTTTGAACATGACTTATCAGGGTGTTGACATTTAAGGTGACTTCATCTTTTAGGGGGCTTGTTGAACCTTAAGTGAGTGTAATTCCTGAGCCCGTCATGAAACTATTCTCATGCTTATACCCAAATTCTGTGCTCAGGCCAAGTTTCTTGTTCTGTTGCTTAATTTATAAAAAAAAAACACATTTTGTAAACATTGTTTGAAGAATTTCGAAAAGACTTCAAGCTGCATGCTATTTAAAATGTTAACACTTGACTATCTGACAGTGTCACATGATTTAAGCAAGTTATAAGAAAGTTGGGTTTGAGAATGGTTTTATGAATATAAGCCCTGGTGTATATCGAGGATGAAAGAGGCCATGCAATGGAAATAAGTAGTTTTTTTTCACAAATTACGCAGACACAAGATTTGTTCTCATTATATAAATCAACATTGATTTAAAGTCCTATAACCTGTACCCTATTAATATTATTTATCGTATATGAATGTTAAAATCTGACATGTCAAACACCAATTCACTCAGTGAATTGATGTTTATTGGATTATTGTTTTATTTATTCCATTTCATATTTAGTTTCCATGCAATAGTCATTAGAACCCTGATTAGTCATTGTGTCTACGCACAGACTTGGTGATTCAGATATATCCCATCAACGCAAAGCTTGGTATAAAATTAGAAGCTATTGGCATAATGTTGGAATATTTTATTTCCAAGTTCAACATTTGATGGATTATGATCATAATATCTCTAATATCGGGAAGACTATAAACAAATTGTACATGTATTTGATAAAACGTGTTTAATATGAGCAAACAAACATTTCAATTAAACTAAACGAAGTGTATTTGGATTAAGTAACAAATCATAAATAACCATATGGTAATTATAACACAATTTAAAGTAAGAATTATTGCATTGTCAGGTACTACCAGAAAATGCATACCTTGTCATTTAATTATGATTTAGTAAAAGTCAAATGTTCCACAGTGCAGGAATTTCCCCAGCATAAAGTCTAAGCTCTATCAAACTGACATGACCCAGTTGATAGTTTTTGCAAAATATCATAACTGAGAAACATCTGAGCTATTTCGTACTATTGAAATAAAGAGTCCACTTTGCCTCTCTCAGAATCACAGTACTTCAACATTGATTCCGAAAACTAGTGTTTAGTTGGTAACGGATCAGAGATGAAAAGCCAAAAGAGGATTTCAAGGAGTTCAACGCATTTGAAACAGAATGTAAATGTGGATTTGAACAAAATTACTGAAAAACCTATGGAAAATATTCAAAAAAATTATACCTTTATTTTTAAATGGAAAAAATTGAAACAAGGACACATTGTCAGATTACATACCAAGCATAAGCCTAACACTCCATGGAACAAGGTATTCTTTGGAAGGACTTTTTTCAGATTAAATACAGCAATATCTACAGAGGTACGTACATGGAAGATCTGGTTTACTCAAGTTTTTGTATCATAAAGAATTCACTTAAACAGGTAAAAATATATATAATCATACATGTGTAATTTTTTTTACAATATTTTAACATTTCTGCTCAATCTGCACAATCTGAACACCGATACATGCACAAAATATAGAAGTTTTAATTTTTAATGTAAACGGCACACAAGGATAACAATCCGTAAAATATATGCAAACTTTAAGCAAACAAGGTAGGTTACCAGTCTCTGGAGTTCCAAACTTTAATCAAATCTTTTAGAATAAATATAAATGTCAGTATGCATAAAGAAACCTTATATACTTTTAAATATAAAAATTTGATAACTATTTCCCAAAATTCAACGGTTATGATTATTTATACTTCGGTTTTTATCATGTGCATAAGCTTTATTTTCCAAAACTTGAATTTCATTCTATAATTACTTGAACATTTTAACAGAGTGCTAGTGAATAGAAGTTTAGTAAACATCTTTGTTTACTGAATCAGAAAATCCATTAACTCATTCACCTCTGAAATTTCATTATGAACTACTCCATTTTTTGAATTGGAAGAGTTCAAATGTGTCTTCAGGGGTGAATTAGTAAAACAATATACATTTTATACATAATTTACTATACTTTTAGACATAAAACACATTTATAACTTGAATACTGGTATATTGTACTACAGAATGAGACGTTTATAATCAATCAATATAAAATACATCCCAAGAGACACAAATTAAAATCAAAGTAACATCTGATTTCATTGCACATACTTGAAAGACTGTTGGGTATATTTAAATCAGTAAAAGACATAAGATGGATACAGACACTGATAGTTCACCTTCACACAAGTTTTCAACAACTTTTCTAACATTAACAGAGGTTCAAAAATTCAAAACAAAATTTCTGGAATTCATTAGCTGAAAAATTAATCCTATCAAACGTTGTGTTTATCAGTATAATTTATCCAAATTATAAAATCATCACAAATTCCATAGTTATACATATAGTGTGTTCTCACAAATATTGAATGAAATGATACTTATTTTCAACATGTATATGGTTTATGAAAACGAACATTTCAATGACAGGCTTATAAACACAGGCCCCAATTATTAACAAACAGGTTTCATTGAAATATACTGACTTCATATTGCTTTGGCCAATCGCATGAGGTGATGAACTGAGTTGGTTCTAAGACAGAATATAACTTGTCTAAAGAACAACTCAATTCATCACCCTTGAAAATTGTACATGTATTGTAACTAATTCATAGGGCTCATATTTCAATGTTATTTTGACTCAAAGTACATGTTATTATATATCTCAAAAGATCATGACAATGCAAGATAAATTTTTGTGTCTTCAAAAATAAATAAAAGTTTATTTCATACCCCTGTATGAGCTTGCAAAAGAATTAGTTTAATTTGTGGTACCTATTTTTTGGCATTTAATAATTTATATTTAACGAGTACCTGCATATACAACTGATGGACATTATTGCAGAATTATGTTAAACAGTGGAAATAGATAAACTTCCCCTAAATGATTGAACTTTGCAGTATGCAGTGAATGGCAATCTTAAGATAGGTCAACTGAAGTTTGGCTAACTAAATCTCTCGGAGAATAAAGAAATAAGAAATAAAATTTCGCCTATAACTTTAAAACCAAAACGAACATATTCAGGAGTGAATAAAGAGTTTAGATTCACTATACTTCATTTAGTATAGTAAAGCATCAATCAAAATTATAGTTTATATGGCACAAACTTATATTACCCACATGTACAAGGAATACATAGACCAGCTCCTTCATGTCTATGTTATATGTATATGTACTAGTACATGTACATTCAACAGTACAGCAGATGGCAAATTTTGTAACTGTACAAATATGGTTATGATAAATGAAGCTTCATCATATACCATATATATTCACATACCAAGATGTTTAAAAATGGCCACTTCCCATATGATTAAGAGCAAAAAAACCCACCGCAAAATATTTGATAATATTGATGACTATTGGAATCTTAACTAAGCAGAGTGGATTTTGAAACGATAACTGCAAATGACAAAAGTGTGATAATCAACCCTGTTTATATATGAAGTGTTTATTTCATAACATACAGGCAGAGGACAGTCAAAAAAACAATTATGTAAATGTAATTCAAAGGTTTGATTTATTATTTTTCCATCACATCACTGTCAACCATACAGTTAGCTATATATAGACACCGGCAGCTTCAAGCTTCATGGAATTCCTTAATCAATATACTTTGTAAATCATTTGATTTTTAAACTTGAACTATCGTAACATGGAGACAAAATACTGTTAAAGCTTTAAATTAATTACATTTCAAATCTGTTTGAACCATGTATTATACATGTCATGGTGGGTTTTTTAATTTTGCGAAGACAACTTTAAAAATTAAACAAAAGTAAACGGATCCAACAAGACACATAACAATATCAGCAGCAAACTCAATACCACTCAAGTTCACTTAATTTTAATCATGAAACATAATTACATGAACTTATTAGAACATGACAAGTACCTGAGCCATTGCAAGGAAAATTGTGATTCCAAAAATGTTGTACTGTACGTATTATCAGTTAGTATTTGACAGCTTGTGTAGAGATCTATTTTTGATATGCTATGAAGTACCAAAGGATATCTGCTATCTTAATTTCCATACTTTTGATTTATGTATTTAAAGAGTTTCTAATCCTTATTCTTCATGTTAACATTACAGTTTTACCTTATCATTATGAAAGCATGCAATCTTTTGTACCTTTAAAAGGTGTCACTAATTATTAAGCATTACTAGAACCAGAAAAACTATTAAAACCACGATAAAGGAAAGCAGTCCATGTTTTCCTTTAAGCAAAGCACTTTTGGAAATGCATGTTCCGTTATGACCATGCCATGTATAATTAAATCACTTTCATCGGTACTTAATTGCATATTTAAGCTTTTAAGCTTCACACACTATTTATCAATAACTCAGACAATAAGTAATTTCAATTACACATTTTGCCATTTTGGCAGTCACCAATTAATGAATAATCTATATCCAAACACTAAATAAACTACATGTACATGTATTTCATATCACATTTACGGATAGGAAGCATTCAAGTTTATATAAACATTTACACAAAACTTTTACACACGTACATGGTAGCTATAGGTCTTTCAAGCGATGTGACTAGAAACCATTAAAGTTGGAAAGGTAAAGAAAGAAGCATGTTATTATAATATCACTATCTATATTCTTCTGTGTGTGTGTATTGCCATTATTTCTGTTTGTAGAATTTGTACAATCTTCCTAAAAAAATCAAAAAAAAAATCTGCTCAGCACATTTTACAGGTCTTAAACGCTTATGTCATAACATTTGGTAATTTTTTTTATCAAGATTTCACTAAAATTATTCTCTGTTTATATCATAGATATTCCTTTTAAATAAATAGAAAGGATAGGCAAACAAAAAATTACTAGTCCTCATTTTTTATGGCCGAATATGTATACTAAAAACAACTATCCTTTATAATTAGTAACTATGACAAGTAATTTTGTTAAAGTTCTAGCTGTCCCACAACCTATTTTGGAGGCACAAAGTGATTTATGTTATGGTACATAGTACATCTGATCTTATTTATAAAACTCTATATATTTTCCAACAAAACATAATTACACAACCCGTAAAGCAGGATATTCTCTCTCCATACGACATATAATTGCTCTACAACTCTCTACATTATATCCCCATGATAATAAGCTCACTCAAACACTCGCTACTCTCTCAAATCCAAGGTGAGGTACGTTATGAAACAATCCAACAGATCCATAGTCCTAGACACGGGTCATACAGATTAGCCTGTCGATATGTCATATATTTATCACAAGGATATTTCAAGGAAGCAGTTTGCACATGGCAGTGTTTCTGAAGCTGAAGTTTCTTTTCAATGCCTTCACTGATAACCATATCACAGATATACATTTGAACTGAAGACTAGCAGTACCGAACACATGCGTATGACTGTCAGGAGCTCTCTGTGTGTATGATGAGATCATGATACTAAGTAGCACTTTGTACATGTACATCATGAGTGCCATTGATTCAGCTGCTGGCCCTATGCATGGCCCTTCAGGATAGTGCATGCTCTTTTCTGTGGGCCAATTCATTTTGTAATGAACAACACCTTCAATTCTGGACCCATGCATTTTCTTCTAACATGGTCATTTGAACTGTGATGAATACATTATCCTAAATATTTATATGACTAAGATGAATTCAAGATATTTGGGCGCACATTGTATGCATGTGATGTACATTTGCAAGTATGGCCCTCAGTATAATACTCTGGAGCACTTTGTATGCATGATGTACATGTGCAAGTGAAGCCCTCAGTATGATGAACTCATGACATTCAGAAACACTTTGTATGCATGATGTACATTCGAAGTGTAGCCCTCTGTATGATGATACTCAGGAGCACTTATTTGCACATGTGATGTCCATCTATAGCACTTGGGAGCACTCTGTATGATGAAGTCATGATTTACTCAGGAGCACTTTGTGTAGATTTTGAACATACATGCATGTTCCACTCAGGAGCGCTCTGTATAGATGTTGAACACACATGTATGTTCCACTCAGGAGCACTCTGTATAGATGTTGAACATACATGTATGTGTAGCACTCAAGAGCACTCTGTGTGTGTAGTCACCATATTGCCTAGTCTCTGTGTCACTGTTCTACATGTTCTGCCACCTACAATTAACAATAAAACTGATTAGTTAAAAAGCCTTTTGCATATCTAATTCAAGAAAACTAGGTTGAATAAAATGTACATTTAAGACAGTATAACTCTTCTAAATATATACAATATCAGAAAAAAAGCTGTAGCATACTGTATGCTAAAATAAATTTATTTTATACATATAGGTATAGACATGAATGAAACAATCATACTATAACAATTTCATCAAATACTAAAAATTGTAAATATTTTATAACAACAGCAAAATCATTAGCAATATAACACAAATCAAGTATAATTCAGTTGTGCTTTTACTTTAATGCTTTGAAAAATAGTGAAAGGGATATGACACATGTCGTGTGGACATGGGTCGGTCTGGGATATGACACATGTCGTGTGGACATGGGTCGGTCGGGGATATGACATATCTCGGTCCAGGATATGACACATGTCATGTGGACATGGGTTGGTCCGGGATATGACATATGTCATGTGGACATGGGTCGGTCGGGGATATGACATATGTCGTGTGGACATGGGTCGGTCCGGGATATGACATATGTCATGTGGACATGGGTCGGTCGGGGATATGACATATGTCGTGTAGACATGGGTCGGTCCGGGATATGACATATGTCGTGTGGACATGGGTTGGTCCGGGATATGACACATGTCATGTGGACATGGGTCGGTCCGGGATATGACACATGTCGTGTGGACATGGGTTGGTCCGGGATATGACATATGTCGTGTGGACATGGATCAGTCCAGGATATGACATATGTCGTGTGGACATGGGTCGGTCCGGGATATGACATATGTCGTGTGGACATGGGGCGGTCTGGGATATGACATATGTCGTGGGGACATGGATCGGTCCGGGATATGACACATGTAGTGTGGACATGGATCGGTCGAGGATATGACACATGTCGTGTGGACATGGATCGGTCCGGGATATGACACATGTCGTGTGGACATGGGTCGGTCCGGAATATGACACATGTCGTGTGGACATGGGTCGGTCCGGGATATGACGCATGTCGTGTGGACATGGATCGGGCCGGGATATGACACATGTCGTGTGGACATGGATCGGTCCGGGATATGACATATGTTGTCGTGTGGACATGGGTCGGTCCGGGATATTACATATGCACAACTAGCAGTAGCAAATAAGTAAAACAATTCACAACACTGATAAGTATTAAAGTAATTATACATATATAATGATAAAGTACATTACCTTGTGTGTAGCTGGAGGCGTGTGCTTGGGCGTGGTTGTGGTGTGGGTGATGGTGGTGTGCTCGCTGGTGATTCCTTTGGTGCATTTCATGAGTATTTTGATGGAACTTTTGGTGCTGATTATGAATATTTTTATGATTGGAAGCATGGTCATATTGATTGTGATGATGCAGGTTACCAAATAAATCATCTTCAAAGCCAAATCCATCTTGATAGAAGTCATCATCATCATCATCATCATGAAAAAAGTCTTCGAAAAAATGACTTCCATCATTATAATCCTCATCGTCATCATCGTTATCGTCGAACAAATCATCAAAATTAAAGAAACTTCCACCGTTGCCTCCAAATGAGAATTTGAATCCCTGTTGATGCTTATGATGTCCTTGTTTATGGGCATCAAATGCATCATCAAATCCTTTAAAGAAATCACCGAAGTCAAAACTATGAGATGGGAAGCCACCACCGCCTCCACCTCCAAACTGCTGGTCATCTTTGTGGCCATACTTGTCGTACTGCTTCCTTTTATCTGGGTCGCCCAGGACCTCGTATGCTGCAATACATAATGATGTTTTTGTTTAAAACAGAACAAATATTTTGACAATATAAATTATGTAGATTTATATAGACCAACAATTTACAAATTATTGAGTGCTTTCCTGTCTTTCCACTTAAAATTTCTGAAGTGGAAGTGAAATTTTGTTGCAAGAAAATGGATGCTATCCTATCAATATAAGCAAAATTTAATACAATTGTTTATCTACAATAACACTTTACTAATTTGTTTCTTCCTGTCCTTACGTTTAAAACTCACTCACTTGGAAGAGGAAGTAAACATTTCATTTTAAGAAAACAGACTTTAACATATCAACACAATGTACATGTATCATCCAGGTACATATGTACAGTATTACATAAGTAAAATTCACGATCAAAGGAAATGTTTTTGAGAATGAACTACATGTTTATGGTTTGATATTAGAAACAGCTTCTGCTCTTATTGACACATCTAAGTGACAGACTTATAAATTACCAGCTTATATTATTACGTATGGTACATGTACAGACGGTAAGACTTAAAACAAGCTAAACGTATTCTTGCAGGTTTTTCTTACAGCACTGTATGCAGCATAGAAGTAGGAAGCTACATATATATATATATATGCAAGAATTTAAGCAAAACATTATTTAGTCTCCATGCATGTAAACCAACCTTTAGCTATTTCCCTAAACTTCTCTTCTGCTCCTTTCTCCTTGTTTTTATCTGGGTGAAACTTCAGTGCCAGTTTTCTGAATGCTCTCTTGATTTGCTTATCTGTGGCACCTTTCTTTAGGCCCAACACATCATAGTAGTCTGCCTGCTTGGCGAGTATGATACTGGTAGTATAGATACTACATAGAGCACAAAGGTATAGTAGGTTCTCACAGTTCATCTTGATTTGGGTAAGTCTGTACTTGTATTCTGAAGCAAAACATTTATAATTAAAACAATGTGTATACATTTTTAGGTATCTATAGTCACATTAAGGATGATTTATAAATTTTGTCACTTTTTTTAACTGATATATATATATATATATGTGTGTCAGAGAATTCCACGTTTTCATAGAGCAGTGTGCTCTGGCCCCACACCAGACATCTATATGTCAAAATGTCTAAGTCTGGTGGTAGGGCCAGAGGAAACTCAGGCCAGGTAAAATGCATGACCAGCTCTTGATTTGAAACCAGGACCTCTGAACTCAAGCGAACGCTTGTCGTACCTGGTCGCTGGCAATTGACCCAGTCCAGTCCTTGGTCGATCGTCAACAACCAGGTTATATAGCTCACTATTCCTTTTTAAAGTATTATTTTCTGTACACTTTGCAGAAACGACCATGTACTCACAGGTGTTTGAAATTCTGACTGTAAATTGAGATAAAAATCACATAAAAAAATAAGGGTATTACCACAGACTTAGATATCTAATTCCGTGGTATTACTATCAAAAAAGTAATACTTGCCCTTATCGTTTTTATACGATATCTCAATTTACAGTCAGAATTAAACACCTGTGATGTACTGAACAACTTTTCACTAGCATATTATGGGCTTTTGTTGCAAGTCTTATGTTAACCAATTCAGGTGTGGTTCAGCCAGACAGCGCTTATAGACTTACGTATAGACAAACAGATACTGTACAGTACTGAAAGTAAAACTGTCTGGAAAAAAATATGTTAAACAAACTCGTTGTGTCAGTTGACCGGTTTCATAAAAGGGGTGAACAACCAGCCTATGTTGGACTGATTTAGCCATGTAAACCTAGAATGATTATCTTTTTTCATCACTTGCCGAGAAGTTGATAAGTCAGCTGTCTGTGGTCCAAGGTACGATGTGAGTATATGTACAGATGTATGTTACAGAAAAATTCACGTAGGGAAACTTAACCCCCTCAATATTGACAACCACTCACTCCATTAACTGTTACCAATAATACAATAATATCACCAAAGAAAACAATATAAACATATTCAAGTTACCTGATTTATTTCTACAGCTGACGTTTTAGTTCAAACGTCCTCTTCGACACTCGTTCAACCGACAAATACTTCTTACGATGACAGCTTGACAGAAACACACGTCGGTCTCCAAAATAGAACCGGAAGTACACGACTGTTAAATTGATTGGTGGAAATAAATCATGTGACCTATGATTAGGGAATTCGGAAAAATATTACCCAGAGTTCTTCGATATAAACAAGAAATGGCTGACGATCTCTTACCGCTGTTGGGGATTAACATGGGTAACGGCGATGGGCATGACGACGAAGATGGTGGTATGGAAAGTTTAGAGATAGTTTTTTTTATTAATTATACCATGAAAATTTGACGTAGTATAAAATATTTTGTCTTTCTTTGTCACATTGAAACTTTGCACTTGGTACTCTGCTGTGTTTCCAGTTTTGACGAATTGATATTATGATAAAAATTCCAGATATGAGCAGTTTAAACTGTTTGAATTGAAATACGCACATGTCAGTGTTATAGCATCATCATCTGTCATGCCATGACAACGTTTGTAATCAGAATTGCTGCTGTTGTAACCCGTTTTGACGTATCAAGATGATTTAATTCCCAACCCGTTCTCCTACAGGTGACAGAGATACTACAGGATCAAAGGTGTTAATTAACATGACATTACCTGTTGGGATTGAAGTGTACTACAAGTTTACCTGTAGTCTTAACATTTTGCTAACGTCATTGAAATTACAAGTGATGACACAGACCCATAACAAACATATTGTTTAAAACAATAGGCCTACCAGCAATTAATAATCATAAATGCTTTGTTTTGTGTCCATGCTTTTATGTTCATACTTTTAAAAACTGATATCCCTACATTGTATTTCAAACTTCCACAAGAAACGATAAAATTGTCTGTATCTAAATGGCCACTGATCGGATACATCATAATCAGTCGTATGTTTTGTTGGATTATACTCTGGGATGCAGGTGATCTCATATGCCAAAACCTACATTGATAAATTAAGGCTTATGATGCAGTTTGTTAGTTACGAATGAATTCATATGATATTTATATATGTATTTTCAATTTTTACCTCTTTCATTTTTTAATGGAGACCCTTAACTTTTAAGGAGATAGTGGAAAAATATGGTTTAATTATGCTTTGAACGTTTATAATTATTGAAACATTTAATATTTATGTATAAAACGGGGATACATATACAAGTAAATCAGAAAAATGTACACAACATGTACAATACATTTGACTATAAACAAGAAGAAAAAAATAAAAAAAAAATAGGTAGAAAAAACAATCCAATTACATAAAAAATATTGCTCATATTCTTTGATTTATTTCAGTGTTCATTGTTCTGATGAATAAATTGTTTGATTCATCTGGATTTGAGTACAGAGGTCACAGACACACTAATTGCTGCTGTCTTATACTCAGATATACATGTACAATGTATGCACATTTTTTTTATCTATCCTTAACAGAGGAAGATGATGAAGTAAATATGATGGAAGATATTGAAATTGAACCTGCTGTTAACAATGAAGATGGAAACATGCCTGATAACAGTCCTGTACAGAAACCAGAAATAAAGAAATCTACAAAAAAGACAAAGCGACAACAGTCAATACCAATAACATTTGATTCATCACTCCCAACTTCACATTCGGTAAAACATTGTATAATATATTATAAGATATTGCTTTTGACATCGTTTCAGTGAGATTTGGATTTTACATTGTAAAGATTCCTGTTATCAATAGAATTTAGAATTATGTTTAAAATGAAAGATCTAGCCTGAAAGATGTATGGTTTTGAAAATTTTATTTCATATCAACTGATTTGATTCAGATATACATATAGATTATACAACCAAATTGGTTGAATTGAACATTTCAATGTCATAAAAAACAATGCTTTTGAAATGTCAACTTACAAAACATACAAATGTTTTCTTGATGTCATTAAGACTTTCACAACACAGATTTGAAATTGCTAATTGTCTGAAATAATATTTTGTATGAAGTATTTGGGGAATGATCTTGAGGAGGTTAGAGGTCGTACCATCCATGATGACAACTCGCTGGTTACGCTTCCCATCATCCAGTTACCAGGGATGGTGCTTATTCCTGGCCAAACCATCCCTCTTCACCTGTTCCACCAGCACACGGTGGCCATGATCAAGGGCGTCGTTGATACAGACAAAACCTTCGGGGTCGTAACCTTCAGGTAAGGCAAGAGCATAGCTAAGGTAGGTGAATTAAAAACCTGCATGCATAATGATTGTGGAAAGGTAAACAATGATGATATTGCCACAAACAAATCTTTAATGTTAGCCTAAAAGACAAGGATATTATCACAACAAAGACACAATCTCCGGTGTCATAGCCTACAAATGATATATACAAGACCTACACACAGACAAAAGCTTTAAGGTTGTAGACTACAAGTAGGGCAAGCCATGGTCTAAACAGGCAATCTACTTTTTACAGCTAACATAAAGGGCATGGTGACAGACAGAAAACAATCCAGTTTGTGACTTGCGGGTAATTTAAGGGCATGCAGAAGTTAACAAAGAAAAAACGTTTAGGGTTGGAATTTTGAGTTGAGAAGAGGGTGTAATATTGACACAGACTGAAACTTTAAGAGTTTGATTTTTGAGTTGAGGCAAGGGTTCATGTTCCATACATGTACAACGAAGACTGAAATAAATCATATGAGTATGGTATAAGTGATAATACAAAGCAGATAAAACTGATCAGTTTAAGATTGGTAATTCAGTATTGGTTGCTAGCATTTCGTAAGACTGAAGATTATAAGTTGTAAGTATTGTACAGTGTTGATGAGATGGAATAATGGTTATATAACAATGGCCAGTACAATTGTATGTTCTGCCTTGTAGACACACTCATGAGGAGGGGGCACACACCATGGCGACCATAGGAACCACAGCTGAGATATTTTCCGTACGAGATGAAACGGATGATGACACAGGGTTGTCGACAGTAAGAGTCAAGGCCAAAGGTCGTCAGCGCTTCCATATTGTTGATACTAAACGCTCACCTACTGGGTAAATTAAAATTGTTTTAGATTTCCTTTAATCTCTATATGTTTTATTATTTCACGATTATGAGGGGCAGCTTTTATCATTTGTTATCAAGATCATTTTTCTTGTTGATTCCATTAGATCATTGATCAATTTAGCTATACATTAAGTGTCTATCTCTTTTCTGAAAATGTATTTTAATCATATAAGGGAGGTAATCCTGGCTTACTTTAGATGCAGGTCTTCACAGCCATATATTTGTGTAGAAACCTCACTGAATTTTGAATTAAATTTTCATTATATAAAAACAAAATGCTATAAAGTTATTTATCTTTTGCTGTATCTTTTCTAATGGTTACTGTATACTTGTGTGTGACCCTCTAGCTGTTTTTCTAATGGTTACTGTATACTTGTTTGTGACCCTCTAGCTGTATCTTTTCTAATGGTATCTGTATACTTGTGTGTGACCCTCTAGCTGTATCTTTTCTGATGGTAACTGTATACTTGTGTGTGACCCTCTAGCCGTATCTTTTCTAATGGTAACTGTATACTTGTGTGTGACCCTATAGCTGTATCTTTTCTAATGGTAACTGTTTTCTTGTGTGTGACCCTCTAGCTGTATCTTTTCTAATGGTAACTGTATACTTGCGTGTGACCCTCTAGCTGTATCTTTTCTAATGGTTACTGTATACTTGTGTGTGACCCTCTAGCTGTTTTTCTAATGGTTACTGTATACTTGTTTGTGACCCTGTAGCTGTATCTTTTCTAATGGTAACTGTGTACTTGTGTGTGACCCTCTAGCTGTATCTTTTCTAATGGTTACTGTGTACTTGTTTGTGACCCTCTAGCTGTATCTTTTCTAATGGTAACTGTATACTTGTGTGTTGCCCTCTAGCTGTATCTTTTCTAATGGTAACTGTATACTTGTGTGTTGCCCTCTAGCTGTATCTTTTCTAATGGTAACTGTGTACTTGTGTGTGACCCTCTAGCTGTATCTTTTCTAATGGTTACTGTGTACTTGTTTGTGACCCTCTAGCTGTATCTTTTCTAATGGTAACTGTATACTTGTGTGTGACCCTCTAGCTGTTGTTTATAGCCAGTTGCTGTTTCATTTTAAGGATTTTAATAGGTAAAGTGAAGATATTGCCAGAAAAGATATTGCCCGACTGTCTCGAGGGAGCACGGCCTCCTTCCCACTGTAAATTCTGTTGTCCTGACCTGGACAGTGTGGTCAAAACATGTACAGCTGTTGACAGACAGGGCAACATACTGACCAGTGTAGCTATGGTCAAAAACAGGAAGGTATGTAATGTCCATTGTGTAATTGTCAACAAGACAGGATTTTCTCTCACCTTAGACAAGGATATCCCATGTTATACCTGGAGATAGGTTTTTTATCTCCTCTGATTTGCCTCCACCACTGGTCTCGGGTTCAAGGCCTACGTGGGGTAGTTGCCAGGTACTGGTCATAGGTCGGTGATTTTTCTCCGGAAACTCCGGCTTTCCTCCACCACCAAAACCTGGCACGTCCTTAAATGACCATAGCTGTTAATAGGATGTTAAACATAAACAACCAAACCAAACCAATCCAATCATCTGATCTGTCTAATACCTTTACATGACAGTTGGTTCCAAATTTCCCACAGTAATGAATTCATCTGTGCACTAAAACAAATGAAATCTGCATTCAAAAATTCCATTTTATGATTCAGTGTCATTTTTTTATGTTATTTAGTTCACAACATTACAAACACCATATAATTTCATATTATAGAAAGGACTACCTATACCTGTACAGTACTTTTTGTGCAGAAGCTTTAATAGTGCAGAGTTAGGCCATATGAAATTGAGGCCCTAGGTGGGATATTTATAAACTACGATATGAGGTCCCAGAAAAAATCAATTACCTGTAACTGATCAAGATTGGGCTATCACAGTCTCCGGCCAACATTCTGCAATATCCCAACTTTAGCTTGTGCCTTTTGTTTGTATTATATTTGAGAATATTAGTCCTCGACAGGGGTAAATTGATCTCGTTCAGTTACATTGTCCTATTAAATTATTAAGGACACTTTTATCATTGAGAGAAAAACCAAAACAAATTAAAAATATAAGTCAAGAGTTTTATTTTTAGAACTTTTGATTACAAGTTGAAGGTTTTGATTTCTTGCCAACATTTCAAATTTTTCATGTGAGAGAAAACAGGTGTCAGAATCAAGAAATTTTATCAAAATCTATGCCATGATTTCTTTTTACAAAATGATAATAGCATAAAATACCATAGTTTAAGCTGTCCAATGCAATGAATTACTTGAATTTGATGTGGATGAAAAACAATGTTTTCGTTGGTCCAAAATTTTGTGGTTTCCCCGACAAAACACCATTTCTCGGGTACATTGATTTGTGGATGAAAAGTACCCACTCAAGTGGAGAATTGCTTTATATCGAACTTGTAACTTCAAGGACCTATGAATTTGTGGATGAAGATTACCCACGAATTCATTGAAATTAAAAACCTGATGAAAATTAGTGGTTTCACAGTAGTCTTCCTTTCAACTAGTGAAAGTAACTGACATGGGCAATTTTGTGTGCACTTTAACTATTCAATGTACATTATTTTATTCATAGGTCAACAAATTCACTGCCGCTCATTACACATGGTGGCCTCCATGGGTTTACAAAATGTACGATGCTGTGAGTATCAATAAACAATTCTTTCCTCCTTTTTCAGACAAAATAAGAAGAAATACAATCCAAATAATTTTATGATCTTTCTCTTGTTATCGAAGAGCAAATATTGCAAAATAATGAAATGAATGGTAATTACAAAAATAAAGTATACTATATGGCCTTGATGAGTTTGTTATGAGATTTTTTTTCTTTTTCTTTAAGCATGTTTGTACTTAGGGTATGTACGTGGGTATTTTACATTCCTACAGGAATAGACCAGACAAAATTTGCGTCAAACCCATGGTGTTTTTTCTTAACGGCTGTCATCATATAACCTTAAATGTTGTAACCGCTAACAAATAAATTGTCTTTATAGATTGTCTTACTGGGTATGTAACAATTTCAAAGTTCACTTTCTATGTAATTATCCAGGACTTGGTGATGCAGAGAACTAAAGAGGAGCTACACAAATGGAATGAAACTTTGCGTCCCGAGAACATGCCTCAAGATCCAGTTGAGTTATCGTACTGGGTCACACAAAACCTTCCTCTCGACGATGGACTCCGGATTAACCTCCTTAGTATAGACAGTGCCATACAGAGGCTACGCTGTGCTCTCAGCATCATAGGAAAGGTAATACTGTGTAACACGAAATGTTCGTGGGTACTTTCCTTGGGGTACAAACTTTCGTAGATATCCTATATTAACAAACAGTAAACACGTATTTCATTCAAATTCTTTGTATTTATTTTCGTGGTTCAATAACAACCACGAAAACCACAAATATTTATACACAATGAAGACTTCATGTTATACAGTATGCTGTCGGTAAAGACTAATGTATTGACAAACGGTGTACTCCATCCTCGATACTCCAGGGATTACACTCAATCTCTGCATCCCTGGAATATGTCTTAGCAAAAATGAAGGCACACAGCTAGCTATTTGATTGGTCTCAGCTAAAAAGCATGACCAATTTCAAGGCTATTTATATATCCTTTAAACATTACAAAGGAGCGAAACCTGACTTCAAAGGCAGCCATTTTTACCATTACGCAACCATGAGATTTTCTTTGCTAAACATCAGCGATCAAACTGGTCTAGTTGTCTTTTCCACAAGGTGGCACACACTGAGCCTTCGATTTTGCTATGACATATTCCAGGGGTGCAGAGAGGGTAAGTTAACGTAACCCCTAGGCCTGGAGTACGAAGGATGGGTGTACTCAGGAACTTAGAAGCAGTATGGACTGAAGATATTCCATACTTTCGGAAAGCTAGAAGATGTATGGATAGGAGACACTCCTACTTAGCTTAAAATGAAGAATAACATTCCTGCAAAGGTGAAACATGTTGGTTTGTGCTGAAGGATAATCTAACAATTGAAATATTGATAGCAGACTCGAAGGAAAACTTTCCGAAAACACATCATTATTTAGATTGTATTAGCATAGAAGTCATTATTTTTAAGTTAGTTAGCTGTCCAGGAACCTATCTAACCTCAATGATATTAATTAAAGAACATTTTTAGATCACCTGAGACAAAGTCTCAAGTGACCTATTCTAATCGCCCTTTGTCCGTCGTCGTCCGTCGTGCGTCAGTAAACAATTTACATTTTCAACTTCTACTCCAAAACCCCTAAACCAATTTCAATGAAATTTTTCAGAAACCTTCCATGGCCAAGGGTCAACCAAAATTGTGAATTATATGGTCCCAAGCCCCAAGGGGTCTGAGGGGTGGGGCCAAAAAGGGTCGAATTGACTAAAATTTCAAAAATCTTCTTATCAAGATCCAGATATGGTAGAATCAAATACTCTTCATAGATGAAAGGGTCTTGAGGTGTTTTACCAAAATTGTCAATTTCATGACCCTAGGGTATCACGTTTACCGCTTTGGGAATGAGGGGGGGGGCAAACTTTATTATGGTTTATAATGGCAAATGATACTTTGGATATTACATGTTGATAACTTGATTGGAATTTTAACCCTGAGTTGACAGTTTGATACTTTTGAAAATTTTGAGCCAGTCCTACCCCCAAGGGCTGTAGGGCGGGGCCCAAAGGAGTCAGTGTGCTAAAATTTCTTCATTTTCCTTGTTTAGAATCAGAGGTGCAAGTTTCAAATACTTTTCAGTCTTAAATCTGTATGCTAGATATTGAATAAGGTGATTTTATTGTTTTTTGTCACTTTGAATAACATTTCTGTTCATGTTTAAAAGACAAAATCAACTTTCTGTATTAATATATCAGAACTCAGGTGACCGTTAAGGCCTATATGGGCCTCTTGTTATGGAGAACGTTACCTTTCCCCAAACTATTGCAGTTTAAAAAAAAAGTATATGGATTATATAATCTGAGAGATAAAATGAAAACATTTTTTTAGTAGATAATGATGACTTCATGATCAGCTGGCAATATTTTGATTGAATATCTGAAATGTTACTAGATATATGATATGACCAACACATTTGATGTATACACATATGAAATAGTAACCCTAAATTAAATACAGATACTAGGATACAATTTCCTACACTAAGTACAAGTGTATTTTGATTTTCTGATGGAATAGTATCATTTTTTTTGCCTATGCTGTTATATACTATACATACATGTATGTTTAACTATGATTTATTATAAGTTATATATGTTTCTGTATATTTGGATTTCAGTGTTCTGTACTTTGCTGTAAGGGATGTGGATGTCAAGTGGCCAATAAGAACGATGTATTCAGTCTCTCCATTGAAGGACCCCTCGGAGCCTATGTCAATCCAGGGGGCTACGTACACGAAACAATGACAGTGCATAAATCTCAAAACTTAAATCTTATTGGACGACCATCGACAGAACACAGTTGGTTTCCAGGGTAAGCAATAAAATTGATGAAAATTGTCCTGAGAAATGTATTATATTATTGTAAAAAATAAAGCAATTATATATATGATTACTATGTAATCCTAATTCAAGGATAAATACATGTGTTTGAAAGTTTTGTATATAAGAATCATATGATCTCGTAGGTTACAGAAAGAGGAAAACCAGTCTATTCTTGTAACACATCCTGTAATAAACCATTGCTAATTTTGGGATTAGATCAAGTATCCAATAAACTAGATAAACAATAAACAACTACAATAACAGTGTATGTTTTGCAAGGACATATTTACTGTTATTACACCACATATTGATTAGCATGATAATTCAGTCATATAAGTCAAATTTCAACACCAGAACATTTCAATACAAGTTGTTTCTGTCCAAAATGACTTGCGGCAATATTTTTGTTGTAAAACACCATTTTGTTAACAAATCTATGGGTTCATGTGTAAACATTTACTAGAAATTAACAGACGATATTCAAAGCTTTGACTTTGAGCAGACTTAACATCATAAACACATTGAATTTTCCCACCAGTTAAATTGATATTGTAATATATCATTTTGTTGCTATAATACTGGTAGTTACCTTATCGGTTGAGATACCATTTGGTTGTGACGTTATTGATTGTTACAGCTATGCCTGGACGATTGCCCAGTGTCGGCGCTGTTCCTCACACATGGGCTGGAAGTTCACCTCCACACTGAAGGAATTGAAGCCTCAAAAATTCTGGGGACTGACCAGGTCCTCAGTGGTCCCTGGACTCCACAACCTAGACGAGGGAGACGAGGAATGGATGCCAGTCATGTGATCAGGAATGTGTGCTATTTATAGAATGTTTTGAGATTCCAGCCGAGAAAAAGACTTCTGATTACTGTAGCTTTGTATGGTAAATGTCAGTGTTTTAGCAATTTCCACATCAGTCCTGGAGCAATACATTTACAAGCAACAGTTATGTAGTACATAGTGTATGATTATATCAATCTGCTTTTTAGTGGGATGCTAATGCATGGGCTGCATATTGAATTGCTAAAATGGTATTGTATTTATCTTCAATAAGATTGATCAGTTTGGAAATATGTGATATCAAAGTTTTACTTTTTACACAAACAATGTACGTATAAAACGTTTACACAAACAATGTACATATTAAACGTTTGCACAAACAATGTACGTATTAAACGTTTACACAAACAATGTACATATTAAACGTTTATACAAACAATGTACGTATTAAACCTGACGCATTCTTACGTTTAATACGTACATTGTTTGTGTAAAAAGTAAAACTTTGATATCAGGTATTGTATTTACATTATCAAAAAAGATGACAACCAACTTGCCCTGTAAAGACCGTTTCACCACCATTTCTCCCACCCTTCCTAGGGGGAGATAGCCTCGTGTCGATTAGCACATGTTCAATTGTGACATCATTAAAAGTGAAATACGATATTCATACCCCACGTGTGTCGTGTTAGACAACAAAAAAACCATCACCCCTCGGGTTGGAGATTTCTCTGTTACACCCTCAAGGTAGAGGAAGATTCTTTTAATCAAAACAGATTATGACTGACTTGCCCTGCTGAAGTCTAACTCACAGGAAGTGCTACATATAGATAATGTGTTAAAATGTTTAATGTCAAATAGAAAAGGAAAGAAAGTAATGGTGTGTTTGTGTGCAAATTAAAGGTAATCATGTGATCATAGGATATGTTAAATATAGATATGGTAGTCATGTGACCCGGAATACCATAGATTATTAGGGGATTTCACTGTCCTCAACTATGGATAAGCTTGGTATATATGTGCAGTACAGTGATCTTGATATTAAGAGATGTACATGTTTTATAAAACTGTTTGACTGCCAGTTGATATGAGAATTTAGCGTCATTGGAATGTAGTGTTTACTAATGATCAGTTCTCTATGGCTTTTGTATTTCTGTGTGGACAAGTGAGGCTAATATTGTGATAAGAACACTATAATGAGGCAAAGAATTTCTTTTTACCTGCAGTCAGAACTGACATTGTGCAATCAACTATCTGTGACTCAGATTAAAATCTTGTCACAAAAAACATTTTCTGCAATGAAATTCATTTGATTTGTTTCAAATTCTAAAACCAAATCATGGATGAATATTTTAAAAAGTCATTATTTTAGGTTTCAGTGACTTTGTAATTTTAAAGTTTAATATAAAGTGGAAATTAATTGTCTTTCAGGAGTAAAAAACCTACATTCAATAAGTATAGAAAAATGTTTACATTCATCTTCTAAGTATCAGGAAAATGCCTAGTGGTAAACAGAAGTGATCTTAAAGTAAAGCAAAGAAAGTAAAGAGGAGAAGCAACTCCTGAATCTGGGTTTCCGTAACTGTATTGGTACATGGTGCCGACTAGTTAAGACCTACCAGACTGGCCATTGTTAGGGCACAGCACAGCTCTTCGGTGACTGGTACATGGTGCCGACTAGTTAAGCCCTACCAGACTGGCCGTTGTTAGGGCACAGCTCTTAGGTGACTGCTACGTGGTGCCGACTATTTAAGACCTACCAGACTGGCCGTTGTCAGGGCACAGCTCTTAGGTGACTGGTACATGGTTCCGACTAGTTAAGACCTACCAGACTGGCCATTGTTAGGACACAGCTCTTAGGTGACTGCTACATGGTGCCGACTAGTTAAGACCTTCCAGACTGGCCGGTGTCAGGGCACAGCTCTTAGGTGACTGGTACATGGAGCCGACTAGTTAAGACCTACCAGACTGGCCATTGTGAGGGCACAGCTCTTAGGTGACTGCTACGCGATGCCGACTAGTTAAGACCTACCGGACTTGCCATTGTTAGGGCACAGCTCTTAGGTGTCTGCTACGTGGTGCCGACTAGTTAAGACCTACCAGACTGGTCATTGTTAGGGCACAGCTCTTAGGTGACTGGTACATAGTGCCGACTAGTTAAGACCTACCAGACTGGCCGTTGTTAGGGCACAGCTCTTAGGTGACTGGTACACGGTGCCGACTAGTTAAGACCTACCAGACTGGGCGTTGTTAGGGCACAGCTCTTAGGTGACTGGTACACGGTGCCGACTAGTTAAGACCTACCAGACTGGTCATTGTTAGGGCACAGCTCTTAGGTGACTGGTACACGGTGCCGACTAGTTAAGACCTACCAGACTGGTCATTGTTAGGGCACAGCTCTTAGGTGACTGCTCCGTGGTGCCGACTAGTTAAGACCTACCAGACTGGTCATTGTTAGGGCACAGCTCTTAGGTGACTGGTACATGGAGCCGACTAGTTAAGACCTACCAGACTGGCCAGTGTTAGGGCACAGCTCTTAGGTGACTGCTACTTGGTGCCGACTAGTTAAGACCTACCAGACTGGTCGTTGTTAGGGCACATCTCTTAGGTGACTGGTACATGGTGCCGACTAGTTAAGTCCTACCAGACTGGCCATTGTTAGGGCACAGCAATTAGGTGACTGCTACGTGGTGCCGACTAGTTAAGCCCTACCAGACTGGCCATTGTTAGGGCACAGCACAGCTCTTCGGTGACTGGTACATGGTGCCGACTAGTTAAGAGCTACCGGACTGGCCATTGTTAGGGCACAGCTCTTAGGAGACTGCTACGTGGTGCCGACTAGTTAAGACCTCCCAGACTGGTCGTTGTTAGGGCACAGCTCTTAGGTGACTGGTACATGGTTCCGACTAGTTAAGACCTACCACACTGGCCATTGTTAGGGCACAGCAATTAGGTGACTGCTACGTGGTGCCGACTAGTTAAGACCTCCCAGACTGGCCATTGTTAGGGCACAGCACAGCTCTTCGGTGACTGGTACATGGTGCCGACTAGTTAAGTCCTACCAGACTGGCCATTGTTAGGGCACAGCACAGCTCTTCGGTGACTGGTACATGGTGCCGACTAGTTAAGTCCTACCAGACTGGCCATTGTTAGGGCACAGCCCTTAGGTGACTGCTACGTGGTGCCGACTAGTTAAGCCCTACCAGACTGGCCATTGTTAGGGCACAGCACAGCTCTTCGGTGACTGGTACATGGTGCCGACTAGTTAAGCCCTCCCAGACTGGCCATTGTTAGGTCACAGCTCTTAGGTGACTGGTACATGGTGCCGACTAGTTAAGCCCTCCCAGACTGGCCATTGTTAGGGCACAGCACAGCTCTTCGGTGACTGGTACATGGTGCCGACTAGTTAAGAGCTACCGGACTGGCCATTGTTAGGGCACAGCTCTTAGGAGACTGCTACGTGGTGCCGACTAGTTAAGACCTCCCAGACTGGTCGTTGTTAGGGCACAGCTCTTAGGTTACTGGTACATGGTGCCGACTAGGTAAGACCTACCAGACTGGCCATTGTTAGGGCACAGCTCTTAGGGGACTGGTACATGGTGCCGACTAGTTAAGACCTACAAGACTGGCCATTGTTAGGGCACAGCTCTTAGGTGACTGCTACGCGATGCCGACTAGTTAAGACCTACCAGACTTGCCATTGTTAGGGCACAGCTCTTAGGTGACTGCTACGTGGTGCCGACTAGTTAAGACCTACCAGACTTGCCATTGTTAGGGCACAGCTCTTAGGTGACTGGTACATGGAGCCGACTAGTTAAGACCTACCAGACTGGCCATTGTTAGGGCACAGCTCTTAGGTGACTGCTACGTGGTGATGGTTAAGTGAAAATTTAATAGTGAAAAATTATTTAATTTTTCTTTATTGATGAAAACTGGTTACATGTTAAAAAAGCATTATATTTAATTATACATAAAACATCACAGAACAAACAGTATTAAACAATGAAGGTATACTTGCATGAAGTGTTTTTTTTCTGAGACCTGAAATTCCTGATCTGAGTGAGATTTGACTTTCAACAATATCTCAAAACTGAAAAATTTGTTATGTCGTAATGAGGTGAAATTTTATTTGTTGTGACATCTTGATCAAATCACCTATCAAAATGTAATGTGATGGGCCCGTACTGTATAGATATAACTTTGGGGCGGGATTTGGTTTCAAGAATTACATAATTGTGTTAACCAATTAAGAATTCAAAAACTGCACACTTCAGGGTTAAGTTTAAAAAAGCCATGTGACTTATATATTAATTATAGTCAACATTCTATTTGTTATTATATAATGAAATCACGAAGCTTTAAATACTGTGGCTTAATGTGTGTAAAGTTCATGCGAGAACTATATATATATATATATATAAAGGCCAATGTTCAAGATTTATTTAATTTTCCTGCCCTTTGAGCTCCTTATTAATGATGTAGGGTAGAAATGAATGAAAGGCAAGAAAATGGTAGATATGATTTGTCTATGTGATACTCTGACTGTGATACGAACTACAAATAACTACATTGTACATAGTATTAGAAATATGTGCTTAAATTAAATTTCCGACTTCTTTGGCCAGGTGGTGCATTGGTAAGCACACTCATCTTTCCCCAAGATGACTAGGGTTTGATTCCCAGATTGGATGTGAAAAAGTGTGTGAAGTCTCCTGCTTTCTCTGGCTTCCTGTAATGTTAAGACCCACTGTGCATTATTCTAAGCTAACAAGTGTGAATATTCACAAAATGTAAACTTGTTTCATAATTGTTGTAAAATAAAGTCTAGTTTAATTTCAGATTATCAAATTTATGCTGAAAAGAAATATGAATGGTGTATTTATGTGTACACACTGATCATGAGACCTAATTGCCATTCATAATAAATCATCAATTATGTGTTGCATTGCTCGTAAACAATTCATACAATTGTTGGTGTTACCCTTTTCCATCTCTAAATACACAATGTTTATATCATAAACCCAAGAGTATCATGAAGCAATATAAACTAATTCCAAATGTTAAAACCATTTAAGCTTGAATTATTGTATCAGAGTTGGATTTTCCACACATATATAAGTGTAAACATTCGAAATCCAAGGGTTACTTTCTCAACAAAAACATCTTCTCTGCTCCCTATCTTATGACAGGATGAAAGGATCATGGTTAGCTCTTTGAATGGTTCTGGACATCATAAACTGACCAATCCCAGTGCTGATAGACAGTGGTACCTGTACTTTGTATATTATAAAAGGGGTCTATCACATAAAGATAAAAGTGAATCACTCTGA